CGCAAAAGGGTTCTTGGGATTGAAATGGTCTTGATAATAGTTGGTGATTGTGTTACTAAATAATAACAGGAAGCTGGGGTTAGTGGAATAAACAGTAAGACTCACATGAAGCTATTGCTGAAATGGATGAGAGGGAGGAAGATGCTTAAGTTAATCTGCAACCAAGTTGGTTCTTCCAAAAAGTTTTTTCACATCTGTTTCCCTGATGATCCTCAACAAGATGCACCGGTTGCTGCGACTGTGACTGCGAGTGCAACTGAGAACAAGAAACAACCATCTTCCAAGAGAAGAAGCAAATAAGCAATGTTGTTCACCCGGGAGAGCAACTCTATTGTGGAAACCACACAATCTGGTTGTTTGTTTTTCTTTTGTTTGGTACTTGTTTCTGTCTCCAAGAGAATTAAGTGTTTTGATCTGTTTCTAGTTCTAGAGAAAACATTATAGTTCTTGGTGTAGGGACTTCTTCAGAAAGAAGTCAGAACTTGTTTTGTTCCTTGCTCTGTTCCCTTTGAATGAAAAGAAGCAAAACCAAATGTCACTGTGACTGTCCACAGAAGTCAAGAAAATAGCCTTATAATTGATTGATATAGTTCAGAGTTACAAATTTTGTAAACATAGTTAGTTGAACATATCACCTTCGTGTGTTTTAATGGCGAGTTCTCGGATGTTCCAAAAGTTATGCGTCTTGAATGTTTTTTTTTATTTTAGCTTGGGAGGAAACAAATTTATGACTCTTCGATTAACCTTGATTTTGGTCGAGTGTAAAAAATGGAGGACCTTTATGCAATTTAGAAAATACACATCTAACATGCTCCATGAATTTTTAACTTCAGAGCTACCTTTTTCGTTCCGATGATCCCTTTCGTCGAATCCAAATGCCAAAATTCGCCTAAGAACAAAAAAAACTCAGACTTTGAGTTCTAATCATCGCCTTGTAAAGCATCTTCTTCTCCTCTCAGAAAACCCCTATTAGTCCGCTCATTTCTGAACCTTCCCTGTTCTTGTATTCGATGTGGGTGATTCGATTAAAAGCTATGGAGCTGCTGCTAAAAATGGGTGGTGTTGATTTGATCTAAACATTTTGAGCTTTACGAATCTCTTTCTTCGGGGTTTAATTTCAGGAAGGTAAAGTGTTTCGTGAACCAAACCCACCAAATCT